AGTTAGTTAGTTAGTTAGTTAGTTAGTTAGTTAGTTAATTAATTAATTAGTTACTTAGTTAGTTAATGTATTTGGGGCATTTCTAGGGCCACCCACTCACCAGTGATTCTGAACATCTTACAAAAGATAAAACAAGTATTTAAAAAAATACAAAAGAGTGACCACAAAAAACAGAAGCAAAGAGGCAATACCCTACATAATACTTCAAAATTACAAAGCAGTTAGTGGGACCACAATCCATTATTAATCCAATGTCTGTGGCATGAAGCAATTCTTTCATGTTTTTTTAAAGATCATTGTTGTCAGACCTATATAAACGCAACTGCTATGGAAGAAAATTTGTGATAGCAACTCAATGATTTTCAAAAACCAAAATCAATTCTTTGATTTTAATGTAATGTTTATACATACACACACATACCACTCTCTCCCACCCTCAGAACATATGTACCAGTGACCTTGGCTTGGTCACTACTCATTGAGGACGTTTATGTACAGAAAGCAATTTATCAGTGAACAAATAAATATACATTTCTTTATACAAGCTTCCCTTCATATAATTCCTGCCATAAAAATGGCAAAGAAGTGTTCAGAAACCATAATATATTTTGCTAGTGTTTTAGTACCATAGCATGATAAGTGTTTAGAAATATGGGTGCATTAAAGTTTATTAAATCATTTTCCTTTTGCTACTAGTTAATTGTTTGCACCCTGTTGATCTGATTATCTCGCTCAATGGAAATCAGAAAAAAAAGTGTCATTATAAAGATTACGTTGTAATGATAAAAGTTTATCATTGCCCAGTTGCTGACACATTCTGTAATTTGGTAGTCTTTCATATTATGTAGCTGAGAATTGACCTTGCTGACATTTTCTGTAATGGGTAATTGAGGTGTTTTTGGTTTTTTTTTAAAATCCTAATTAAATTTCTGCAAATATAGATTTAGAACTACAGAGGATAATTGCAGTTTGTGATGAGGGAAAAGGTGTTAATTTAGCAACACTAGAATCATCAGAAATAAAATAAGATTTTCCTGGCATTTCCGAGTTTTTAAAGGTTCCATTATTTAGCAGTGTTTGTGGTCAAATGTTTTTTCAGTACAGTTTGATATTACAGATAAACAATTTCTTATTCTTATCTTGTTTTTAAGCAATAAGGATATAAGTATAGGTTTTTGGACTGCTTCAGATGGAACCGTTTTTGTCTTTGCATTGTGAACATGGGAAAAGTTTTGACTTTTAATAGAGGACATACCCTTATCTTCATTTTGCACAAAAATGTTTCTATCATTTAATATATTCTTCCAATACAAATTTAATAAGCACCATAGTTTGGTAAGGGAACTTATGATAATCTTTTCTCTCTTTAACAGTTCAGTTTAAGAATACCAAGCACAGAACCAAAAGAAAATAGGTTCCTTCCAAAAAATGCTAAGAACATTTATAGGAGCTCAGCAGAATAGTGACTGCACATTTAATTTCATTTTTCTCCAATTGTTCATGTGACATGAACACATGAGTTTATGAGTTATGCCTCAATCTGTTTCTTATAAAAGAGTAAAACATTGGAAAGATTAAAAATTGAAGCAGTCCTGGCTTAAACTGAACTGTTA